TTCTATGTCGAAAAAAAGGGTGGCGGTTTTTTCTTTACAACGCTGTACCACGGACAGCGACGAGCTTTGTTCAGACGGACGAGTCCATCTATGCTCGGAACGGAGGAGGGGGGAGAAACAGCCACGATGCGCTGCTCTGTCCTGTGTTGCGTTACAACTATGTTATAATCTAGACTACTATACATTGCAATGTTATACCTTCCAATCTAAACTACATTGTATAATGTCGTATTTTATTATGTTTTATTTTTATTATTTTATTTCCATTCTACGTGACTTTACCGAAAGAACCAAGAAGATGAATCCCTGCAGTCACGAAAGCTTTAAATCGAAATATAACAATAATAGTTTGGAGAAATAATGAAATTGCGAGCCTTCTTGACGCCTCACAGGAACGTACAACAACCAGTACATGGTGCTGGACCTGAAGAAGATTGAGCTGAAGAAGAACATCGCAGACGAAGCCCTCTTTGTGGTGGAACAGATTCCCACACTCGTGGTGTCGGAGGACCAGACGGACATCCTGCGCAAAGGTGAGCCGCCGAATACGTGCGACGTTTTGGCTGCTCCGCAGTGGACGAGCCCCCCCTTGTGTGACGAGGGTTCGGGGGACGGGGGGGTGGGGCACGAGTGCTCTCGCCTTTGACGTCAGTCGCCCCCGGGCAGCATTTGTTTGCGCTACACCCTGCTGATGAGACCGAGAAAGTTTGAAACCGGAGAAAATCCCACTGAAGTGGAATGAGGGTGAAGGATTCTAGAGGCACTCTGGAGGCGAGCAAAGACTCGCTGTGCCAGCGAAGTGTCACGCTTGTTCCACTGGTGACTATAACTCATGGCTGGGAGTACGGCGGATCAGATGTGAACATTGCAGGTCATAGAGGCTCACCTCGTGGCTGTCGATGTGCGCTCCACCACAATCCCTTTAGGTTGACTTAGCCTAGAATGATGACCTGCTGTGGCATCGGATGAGGTGCCAGCACCACCACCCTCCTTCCTGCAGCTTTCCCAACCATAAAGAGACGCTCGCTGTTACGCGCACGCACAAGCACGTATACGCACACATGCACGCTCGCACGTGGAAACACAAAATACAAAGATCCCCCGTATAGCCTTAACATACTGTTGGGGCAGATGCTGTTAGCGAGTGCCTATGAAGGCTGGCACGGTCTTCATAGCTGGTGGGTGGCCAGCACCACGCCCGACCACCTTTGTCTCCCTCGTGGCAATGTTCACACACCACACCAGGTACTCATTTGAGGCTGAGTCGACCTAGGGGAGGCCCAGAAACAGTTTACATATTTGTCAGTGGTGTTGGCTGTGAGCAGAATCGAATTTGGGTTGCTGGACTCAAAGCGCAGTGCGCCAACCACTACACTACCGCTCTCCACACGCACATATACAAACACACACGCACATACACAAACACACACACGTGCATGCGTGCAGTCAGCAGAGCCATCGCTGTCACCTCTTCCGCTTGACGCACAGCGAGGATTTCGGTGGCAAACGTCATGCACGGCTGCCCCTTTGTCCATGGGACAGTAGAATCGTAGCCCTGTCCACAGTGACTCGCTTGCAGGATCAATGCAAAATGCGCTGCACCTAACCCACGCCTCTGCCCGCCAGGATACTGGCCGTCCTACAACGTGCCATTCTACGAGTCCGTCTACAACCTGAGCGGCTACCCCGAGTTCGTGGCCACGCACGGCAGCGACTTCTCCTACGAGCTCGCCCCTCGGGCCAAGATCTTCCGCCGCGACCACGGCTCTGTGGTGGACTTGGCCTCCATGAAGGGCATCATGAGGTCCAACAGTGAGTGCCCCCCCCCCCCACACACACAGGTGCTGGCAGGGGGCGGAGGGCACCCCCAGCGACCCCGCCGGCGACGGAACCCTCGACGACACCCGGCGTTCGTTGGTGCCGCCTGTGAAACTCGACGCGGCGCTCCCAACCGAGAAGACTTTAGGGACCGGTGGCGCTGTGATTGAAAGAACAGATTGATATCAGATTGCCCCCTTCACTCACACCGTCTTATTATAACAGCGGGTTATACGATACGCTGGCAGCATTTGCAAAGTGCCACATTGTACAATGTGTTCTACAACTGTTGTATAAGTCACAGTGTTCTGTTTGCAGTTTCTCTCCTTAAGATGCATCATTGCCGAAAACACAAGCCGCCTCTATTATTTTCTGTCAAAGGCATTGTTGATAAAAGTTGTGGTGAGATCGTGTAAATGTAGTTTGAATGCGTTCCAACCGGAACATAAGGTCGATGTTATATTTTTATTATTTTATTGTTTCCCTTCTACGTGACTTTACCGAAAGAACCAAGAATAATGTTAAAGATCCTGTAATGATATTTATAAGCCTGTGTTCTTGTGCTCTGGTGGTGTGCCCAACATTTGTAAAATTTGGAATTCAAAATTTTAGAATATATCCTTGATATATTGAGCCGTGCTTAGAGTAGTTTGCTTGGAATGGACCTAGGATTCGCAGCCTGGGTACATGCTGTCCTAAGGAGAATGCGTTTCTCGTCATCGGAGACACTTTATGGAAGTACGTATGAATAAAACATAGAAGCGTAAACCTCAAACCATAACATTGACATGAACGCCTTTTGACGCATCAAAATGTGACACTTCTGCTGGGTTGATGATGCACTCATTGGTATTAATTGTTAATGAAGAGGTTTGAACGGAACATGCAACGTTGTTTACTTGAATGTCTTTGAACTATAAATAATTAGCCCTGTCTTAATGAATAAACACTATTGGCCGAATGGAAATAATTAGGTGGTTAAGTGCTCTCTCGAGCATGGTGTGGCACTCATTTCCCACTTGCAGCTCTGAGCCATTGCCAGGAACGCCACACTCCTCTGGCAGGGACATATTTATTCGTAGATAAGCACTAGTTACTTCCGAAAAAAAAACGAATAAAAAAACCTGGCACTCAGAACCTTATAATTACATGCCACACACTAGGACCACTGCTACGTGGCTTGATATACTTTGAATATTCGAGAATTTCTGGTGCTCGAATGCAATTGTCTCGGAGCAGCTGTCAATGTGATATAAAAACACAGCGATGTACCGACAACAATGCTGCTACCTCCCATGGCCACTCACTCCCTTTTCTCCGCGTGCAGATTACAAGTACGACCCTTATTCTGAAGGCGACCCTTGCGATTGCATCTGCTGTCGTGGTGACCTCAACCCAACAAAGCCGGCTCCCGATGGCTGCTACGATACCAAGGTATGGAGAAGAATGGCCCACGTCCCTCACAACATGCAGCCGTGCATTAAAAGCCCTCTCGTGTCACTGTCACGTGCGGCTTGTTGGGAGCTGCACTCTATTAACTATGAACAATTTTTATTTTACCAGGTAAGGCCCACTCTATAGCTCTTTTTCAGAAGCGACCTGGCCACAAATGATTGCTCAACGAAGTGGCTTTTCACGTGCAAATTTATAGCAGCCAAATACTTTAAGCACGTGTTTCTGTATGTGGCGACCCAGAGAAAATCCACATGACTACGGGGAGAACACTCAAACTCAATATACAGCAGGCGTCCGGGTCCGGATCGGACCCACGACATTCTCCATGCCAGAGAGCTAACGCGTCGGAGAGAAAGAGACGGAGCTTGACGAACCATGCCTGGCAAGGGCTGCGGTGCGCAGGATGGGGTTTGCTACACAGCACAGTCCATGTGCGCTGGGGGTTCGTGTAGAGGAGGAGTTGTTTAGCGGAGTCGTTGTGACAGACCGGTGATAGGCGTCACAAAGGGAAAAACGTCACACAGCAAGAGGCTTGGAAAATCCGTTTCGGTCGCAGGCATCTGGAAACTGTGTTTTCCGTTTTTGGTTCCATACCTAAATGCGTCGATGTATCTCGGTTAATTATGGAACAGTTGTGAGTGTCAGTGTCGTATGTTGCTCTCCACTGAGCCTCAGGATTTAATGGGGGCACTTTGAGAGCTTGCGCTCGATCCCGGGACAGTGAACCATATCGGTAACCGAGGGCAGCACGCAGATTTACCCAGGTGACACCGCGTCCGTGTGTGCGTGCGTGCGGGGTGTCCCAGGTCACGGATTACTTTAACGCGCGGAACTTCACGTCGTTCGTGGTGAACGGGCCCACGGTGCAGCCCGACACGCCGCCCTTCAGCTGGAGCAAGTTTAACGGCACGTCCCACGTGGGGCTGCCGCCGATGTACGACTTCCCCTTCGTCACCGTGTGGCCCGCCACCTTCACTGCCACAGCGGGGCTGCCATGAGCTGGGGACCTCGCCCAACGCTGCGACGCGACCCCCTTATATGTCCCTTCCCTGGGGGAGGCCTCTCCCCGGCAGCGAGGCCGCTACCTCTCTTGCCCTGCGCGTCCGCCTAACGCGGGGGTCGGCAACCTGCGGCTCCGGAGCCGCACGCGGCTCTTTAAGGGCTGCTTTGTGCCGTTAATCGCATTGCTTTGCGGCTCAAGAAATATTGAGGTTGTTTTTACCAAATTATTTTGGTTGCCGAACCCTGGCCTAACGTGATGCTTCTTCGATTTGCCCCGATTTCTTCGCTGCTTAACCCGGCCATGCGGCGCTGTTCGCAGAGGCCTACACTCAGTCACAATAATGTGAGTTCAAATCCTTTTTGGGGTCATTTACAGCCCATCATCCCACCAGGGCCAATGAAATAAACACCATTTTGTGGAAAGTCAACAAGATGTGTTTTTGTAGAGACTGGCCCTTCGCCATGGGAATGTTGAATTGTCACCACTAGCTCAGGGCTGCCAATGCTCGTTAAAGCAAGGAGAGACTTTGACCTTTTGACCGGTCTCCCCTACGGCTGCCCCTTCGAGCGTGTGCTTTTTCCTGAGTGCTGCTGCTGCCATTACTCGTACGGTCCATCAGTTGCCTCTCCTGCAAATGGTGTCCCCTGCAAAAATCTCCAGCTCCAAAGTGTGCATTTTTATTTTCTCCTGTGCATGGGTCCTAGTCTTCGCAGACTTTTCACTTCTCAGTGACCGCATTTTTCTAACCACTTTCGTAGCTGGCAGCCTGCCATAGTAGGAGAATCCTGTCAAGGCAAGGGGAGGGGGTCTGTTGCTTTTCAAGACGGAATTTTAAATACAAAGAGTGCCAAATGTCACCCGTAAAAATATCAGCCAAAAAGAGCTGGCAAGTCCATGATTTAAAATTACGTAGATTTTTGTCTCTTCGATGCGTTTTTCTTATTTGTTTACTTTTATTTTAAAATTTGTTCAGGGAACTGTGTTCCTGCATATTCGCTGTCGCTCATAATACGATGCAATGTGCTCAGACCTGCGCTGTATGCCAATGTATTTTGACCAAAAAAATACTGATTTTTCCGACACAAAACATTTGGCAGTTTAACTCCTCCGTCTCAAGGTCGCCAGGCTTGTGACTGAGATGCCCCATGGCTGGGTGTTGTTGCCCAATATGCAGGCACCCTGCCAGAATTTACACAAACCGGTTCACCCTTTGTGGGGAACAAAGTCGCCTACACACATGGCAGACATTGCAGAAACTGATAATGTAATCGACAGATATAGCAACAGGAAGGAGGCTGACTGTAGCAGTTCAACTCCGAATACATATCAAAAGCCCATCTCAGCATTATATAGTTTTTTTTTGTGTTCACTTGAGCACTTAATTCAACTCGGAGGATGGTCGATTTGATGCATGATGGGAAAACCTATTGCACTACATACTGCTAATTTTTACAAACGCTATCGTCTCTGTTGGAAGAAATGAAAACAATGATTTTTTTATAAAAATTCTGCTTTCACGATAATGCAGCACAAAATTATAATTATTGTAATAAAACACCGAAAATAACATTCGTTTGCTTCCCGATATTGTGTTATGGCGATCCAGAGGACAACGTAGTCCCCTCCTGCCATCTGAGCCAGGTTTGCTGGTGGTGCACGCCTGTGATCCAGCGCTGCGTGGGCGAGCGCTGGTGGACAATCAAGGTGCCATACCCTGAGGATTCAATCGTGGATTTTCTCCGGGTACTCAAGATTCCCTGTGAGCACAACGTCAACCGCTGATTAACGGAATTGGCCAATCATCCCAATGCAGGATGCTCCCGAATAATATTTTAAGTCTCACCGAGGCTTTCCTGAGCTTTATAATTATTTGAAGCACACGGCTAAATCACTTAGAATATGCCAACTTGTTAAATCTTGGAAGCTAGGCAGGGTTTGCCCCCGCACAATGGTTGATTGGGTGATCACTGGGCATGCCAGGTAGGTGCCAGGTAGGTTGCTGGGCTGTGCTATGTGGAGCTCATCGGAGGGCAATGCTTCAGCGCACCGTTGTGCACGACACTTTTGCGCGCCCACGTCTCTGCTCCCGCACCTTTAACTTTTTTGTTTGTTATTTAGACCAGGAGATCGATGCTCGATTTTTCGGGCGCCGCGTTGACGGCATTCCTCGTGATTTCTCGCTTAACAGAGTGGGCCGCTCGAAGGCCGCTGCCATCTTTCCGCTCCTGCTCGCGCACTGACGAGCGTGCGATGACCGTGGTCAAACAACCCCCGACAACCCTCACGGCGTGGAGAAGAGGGCCCTCGTGCAGCAGTGGGTTGACTTCGGGGCTGTACATTTGCGTTTTAATAACAAAGGGCATTATTTTCTTAATTGTCAATTATTTCCATGGTGGCAATGCCTGGTCCTTGACGGGTGTGCGTGACAGCGACGTGAAGCGGAGCGGCAGTGAAGAGGCGGAGGGCCCTGGTCGCGGCTCGAGCGTCGGCGAGTTGCAGCGGCCCCTCGGCCCCCGTAGCTCTGTCACGCAACAAAGACAAAGATCCCCCCGTATAGCCTTAGACTGTTGGGGCAAGTGCTGTTAGCTAGTAGCGCCTATGAAGGCTGGAACAGCACACGAGTGGTAGGTGGCCAGTACCACGCCCGGCCGACTTAGTCTCCTTAATGGCGATGTTTACACACCGCACCAGGTACTCATTTGATGCTGAGTCGACCTAGGGGAGGCCCAGGACCGGTTCAGGTAATCGTCATCGGTGTTGGCCGTTAGCGGGAATCGAACTCGGGTCACCGGGTTCATAGCGCAGCGTTCACACACACGCACACACAGACACGCACACAGACACAGACACGTGTGCGCGTGTGTGTGACGCCAAATCCTGACCTTTCCGTAGGACCTCCGGCTCGGTGAGTTTCATTGCGGGCGGCACAGCGCCCAAAGGAGTGAGATCTGTCTCTGAGAAGAGCGACAGTGAAGGGGTGCGTCTGGGGGGCACCGGATCACTCTGGGAAACGACACGGCCACGTGATTTTGTTATTTCGGGAACAGACGGTTACGGGGCTTTATTTACCGGTTTCAGTGATTGGAACATATGTCTGCCGGGCAGGAGAAAAACACGACCTGTGTTTCCGTGTATTATTATTATTTTACCAGGTAAGGCCCACTGAGCTATACAGCGAAGTGACATGGCCACAAATGATAGCTCAATGAAGTGGCTAATCACGTGGAAATTTATAGCAGCCAAATGCTCTCAACGCGTCTTTCTAAATGTGGAGGGAAAACCGGTGGACCCGGATAAAAATCCACGTGGCCACGGGGAGAAAATGCATACTCCAAATATACAAGCGTCAGGGTCTGGATCGAACCCACGACCTCCTGCATACCAGGTGAGGGAGATAATATCTCGCCACCGCAACGTCTTTCACTTCAGCTTTCAGCCCAGTTTTAATAAGCAAAGTGTACGGACGATAACAACTGGAAGTGGATGTTGAACCGATAATATCACAAGACTCAAAGGAACTGGTCAAACATCCCAACGCATGGCCCTCTTGAAAGGGTGCGGACTCCTAGGTGAATTGTTCCTGAAGGACAACGTTGTGGTGACAACTTGAGCTTTTTCTAATTGAAAGTAAAAAGCACCGTTGGAGTGAAATCCCCACACGGCAAAACCAACACTGGGCCATAGTTGGATGTCACGGGACCAAAATTGGATCGACAGCATGATGCGCTGAAATGATATTCTCTGGTTCTTTCGGTAAAGTCACGTAGATAGAAAAAAAATAACACGACGTTTCGGTCGCAACACAAGCGTCCGTCATCGGTTGAGAAAGAATGATCTACTGTTGTGGCTTTATATAGGCACGGGAGGGGGGAGGGGTTATTTCTTACCTGATGACAGACGCTTGTGTTGCGACCGAAACGCCGTGTTCTTTTATTATTTCATCTATCTACGTGACCTTACCGAAAGAACCAGAGAGTATGGATTCCTGCAGTCACGAAAGCTTAAAATCAAGATTGATATGTTATTCTTGTGCTAATGGTGCTTGCATAAAATTAAGCGTGAGATCTTTTCTCCGAAATGTATCTGCTTATTAAATCAGCTCAAGCCTACCTTGAATCACGTGACTTCTGTGTGGCCACCCCCTCTGAATCCCTCCCCTGTCCCCGCCCCCTGTGAAAACACGCTGCTGTGTGAAGTGTCGAGGACGTTATAGAGCCTCTTCCTCCCTCTCCTCCCCTTTCCTGACCACTTTTGTTCCGCTTTTCCATTCCATTTCCATACATTTTCTCTGTCTCTCATCATTTCTCTTCTCACTTCACTTTCCCATACCATTGTTTTTTTCCTCCATGCATTATATTTTTCACTCCAGTGGTGTGCCATGGGTAAAAAAAAGCTACACGTGTTATCAATATCTAGTCATGAAGTAATTTCCATGTGGAACTACTACAGCGAGCAGAGTTACCCCCTGGCTCGGATAATTTCCCTGGCAGAAAGCGTCGCAGAGCCACTTTCGAAGCCACTTCATTTGGCCTCTTCATCATCCACACTGTGGACATTTGGAGCAACAAGTGTTTGCTGCATGCCATTAAAAAGGACACTTTTAATTCTCCGAGATTAAATAAGCAAAATTAAGTGAAACACTTAATTAAGTGAAACACTTCATTTAAATCAAAAGGATGTCCAATCATTGTGACTTGAGCTTATTTGTCCTCGAGTTAAACCCGCACCTCGCACGGTTGACTAAGTACGGTGCGAAAGAAGTTGAACATACACACGTACGTACGTATTGCCCATTTAAGTACCAGGTGGCCTTCCTGCTAGTGCCGGCTCAGAGCTCTGACCTGAGCCACCCAGCGCCAACTCCAACGCCCCAGGACTTTTGAAAACAAAACAAAAAATGCGTCCGTGAAAATTTCACAACTAAACAAACAATGGTTGATTACGACCAACAATGTGCCCTCTAGAACCAGGGGTAATGTGCTTTTGTTAATTGAAAGTTCATCTCGTATCATCTTTGTGTTTTCACCGGGGCCCTCCGCGTGAAAGGGCCACCACGGCAAAGCGGACGCAGTTTTCCCCGTGCTGCAGATTGCCCCACTGAACACAAGAGGGAGAGCAAGATTTAATATTGAGAGCCTGATGATACGTGTGTTGACGAAGAGATACATTTCTTGTGGATTGTAGCGGGAACGTTGCCATATCATCAATTAGGTTTTTAAAATTATATATGCAAAATGATGGAAATTGCCTCCCTGCCAATGCTATTCTTACAGGATATGCACAACAGCAACATTGGTGAGCTCCTCTGGCAATCGCTGGCAGCTACGGTTTTTTTTGTGGGCTGTGTTGAAGCGTGAAGCAGCGTAACATTCTCAGCGAAGCGCAGCTATAATGTTTGTCTCGTAATTATGCAAATTCACAGCAAATGCAAAGACAACCGACTCAACAGAATGCTGCCTTTCTAGACGTGTTATTGGAAATAAAATTATGGACACTGCAGTTACATTAACGGGAAAAAAACTGGCTGAAATATCAAACGTTAGGTTATGCATGTGGAACATAAGGGGTTAGGAATGTTTGTATGCAGCAGTGTCCAAACGTGCTCATTCGTGTACAATATTTGAAAGTCTTAATTAGGTCTCGGGCTTAATAAAACATAATAATACATATAATCGAATTGGCGACCTTGGCTCAGTTGCTTGTGGATATTAATCCACAGCGCGTGCAGCTGTCCCACACTGTGCTAAGGTTAAGGTGCAGCACTGCAATATCTTGCGTATGGCACTGCTGGCCGGAGGGCCTCCACTCGAGTGAACTCCTGAGGGTGCTTGGTCTACCAGCACCTTGGTGCTGCCTGCCAATTTTCAGAATGCGATCCATGTACGTATGTTGAACGTCTTTCGCACCGCGCGTAGCCAACCGTTCTAATCGGAGGTGTGATACCTTTGCATGTCTTGCTGGGTACAATGATTAATAAAAAACAAAACACAATTTACAGTCCTCCCATCAATCCGCTGCTGGATGACGGCCTCCCCACGCCGTGCCGATGGGGAATGCTTGACCATACTTCACCGTGCTAGTCAGTGCGGATAGGTGATGGTAGATTGCCCAGGACTCATAAAGCTATAATTTTCCATTGATGATACCCACGGCTGGGAATCAAACTCAGGTTGCCAGGTTCATTCGCACAATGTGCAAACAATTTGCCCCGCTACTTTATCACGATAATGTACAGTACAACGATATTCCCTGCTTAATAGGTATAACCTGACTCCACACAGACACGGCCATCACAGCTCTATAGAATGGGTTGGCGTGAGTGCTGTTAGTGAGCAACTATTAAGGTTGTCACAGCGAATGACAAAAGTCGCATGGGTCAGCACTATGCCCGGTCTCCTTTATCTGCTCGCTCAGTTCTTATATTGACGCACCACACGTGATAATCATGGGTTTCCTCCGAGTTCTCTGGATAAAAAAAATCGGGCCCAACTGCTATTGGTCAAAACATCCCAAACACTGAAAAATGGAGCTGCAAATGACTCCACTGGGACTGCCCACAGCGGCATTGCCCTCACCTGCGAACATTTGTCAGGGGCCTTTTAAAAATATCTTGAGACTTGGTGAGGCTTTTCATGGGTAAATAGGACACCGTTATTATTATGTATGTATGTTGAACTTCTTTTGCACCGTACGTAGCCACCCGTGCTAATTGGAGGTGCTAATTTTTTGACCAGGTGGAAACTCGACTGAGATACCGAGAAGAATTGAGACTTTTTTTTTTAGAGAAAGGACACAGGATACCAAAATTGACACGAACAAAACAACAAGCCACACAAAATAAGAATTTAAAACAATACATTTAGCAAATGTACGATGTGTGTTGCGATTTACACGTTCACTTTCATTTTAATACCCTGCATAGAAAATGTAAACTTCAGCGTGGATCTCAAGGGAGCATTGCATGGCGCTCACCTCTGTTTGCGGTGCTGAGCCAGTAATAACCGATCACAAATAAAAACAGCTCGTATCAAGCGAAACAATACGAAAGTGTACAAAACCAAGGAAGAGGCAACTCTCTGCCGTGAAAAATCAATATTCCCTCCATCAAAACAATTTATTCTCATTCCTATTCGAGAAAAGTTCTGCGTTTGTCAAAAGCACATCATGAAACGGTGGCCTTGCCTTGCGTGTCTCCTCCGATTGTGTGTGTGTGTGCCGGTTTCTTAAGAGCATTGTGAATCCTCACAGCTCACGCAACTGAGCAGCAGTCACTGCCACGTTTGGCCTCAATGTGATCACCGATTCCTGATTTAATCTGCAGATTAACATAGCCTTGCTACCTCTGATTTACAATGCTCAGCTGAATGGAGGGGGACCAGGATGGGTGACAACTAGATCAACAGCTTTTATGGTGCTTGTTTAAAAAAATGCAGTTTTTAAATGTAACGGGTACGGACTTTTCACCTGGACGTTGGAAATGTAAGCTAGGAGGAAATTTAATAGAGCAATTCACCACCAGGATTTGGTGTATCGATCCATCATTAAAAGCCTGTGGGCGGGTATGATGGGCGGTGGGCCAAAAGCCATATATTGATAGCATTTCTTTATGCCTTTGGGGCAAGATCATCTCCTATTATGGGTGTCTTGACAGCCAGAGAGAGCCAGATTGCACTGAACTATGGGAAATTAAAGGTCTCAGACCCCAATAGTCAGAATGAGAGTTTTAGCAGATGCTATCAAATTTATTCCTCACCAAGAAAAATACTGAAATTGACGGTTAAAACAAGAGAACTTTCGCACATCACATCAGAGGAATTCCTAATGAAGCAATTACTGAAAATTTTCACGGTTAAAAGAACAGACAATACCTACCCCATGCTATAGAATGGTTCCTAACCAAGCAAAACTGTGCTAATATTTTCACAAATAAAACAATAGAAGTCTAGCATATAGCCGTCGAGTGATTGTTAGCTGAGAAAAACTGAAATATTTCACAATTAAAACCACACACGGAGTTGAATGCACAATGCCTGTCAAGGCTGCGTACTTTGTGACCCACTG